CCAGAGTCGACATGAGAATACTGCAGCTGAGTTTCATTCACAGGTCATTTAGATCACATCCTCAAGATGTTAAAGGATATCCAGTCAGCTCAGGTTTGCCCTTGGATAAGTTTCTTCAGCCCATCTTATACAGCAGAACGTCACGAAGCCATTGAAGAGAAGTATGTTGACACAGCGCATCCCAGCCCATTTCAAGCCCAAAGAGATCCTCCCAAGCGCAAACATGTAACATCTGGGCTGGAGTCTTTTGGTGCCCCAACATGGAAAGACAGGTCATGACCTCCCACGGTGAGTGGGTGTAATTAAAATTGGTTGTTGGTTTCAGTTTAAGCTTTCAACATAATCCTCTCTGATGTCCATGCTTCTGCCAACGATTACGACAGCGAGCTTGTGCATGGGCACATTGTCCAGGTGAAGCAACTATACCGTAAGGAGCTTTCCATGACGTTTATTCTTCATATTCTCGCGCAGTTGTCATAACTATTTGTCATAATATCAGCTGTCTGACCTTTTAGGTGGTAGCACTAGCCCGATTCCATTGGAATCCCAGAAATCCTAAGCCATCACCTTCCCAGGTGATGCAAAAGATTTGGCCTTCTCCTCAGAAAGACACGTTATAAGTTTCCTCTGCTTGGATTGTTGTTTAGTCACTGGCTGATTGTGGTGAATCTGAGACTCGTCCATGGCTACAGTTCGCTCAACAAAACCAGCTGTTGAATTGCAAAAATAAGATGATGAACCTGGACAGTTTCTGATCAAGAGTCAGCCTTGGAACCCAACGTGCTGATGCCTTTGGCATGCTTACTTCATTTCTTAGAATGTTCTCGACATTTTCGTGAGAAGTACCCCCTCCCTGCTTATTTGACGTATGGCGCGTCGTCCATCCTCCATAATGACATCAAGTATTTCATCAACATTTTTCTAAGTGGTTGGAGTTGAAAGTCTTCCTGATCTTTAATCATCTTCTCTGCGACCTGCACCACTTAGGACTTTTAACCCACATTAAGCTGACATGCCCTGATATAACTGGAATTTCGTCCAACACTGCGTTCAACCGAACTCGCTCCTAAAGAGTGTTCACAGTGAGCGTGGGCCTAATGGTTAAAGTGTTCACTCGAAGACCCGGGTTGGATTCCCAACCTGGGTATAATGTGCGAAGCCCATTGGTGGTGTCCCACCGTAATATTGCTAAACGCGACATAAAACCCTCACTTTAACAAACATTTTGGGAAGCGATCGTAAAATACACCGATGCTCACAGTTACTATACTTGCATTTGACATTTACGCTGCTGCTACTACATGCAAAGCATCGTCATGTGAGTAGCTGTCATTTCAAACTGGATCCATCTCCTTAGGAACCCACTGTATAATATTGTGGGTAGGGATGGGTGGCAGGGTGTTTTTATGCGGGAAAAAAATTAACAAACGGAAAAAAACACATTAAAGTGCTTAAGAAGTGTTAAGACAAACTGATTTACCTTCTTTTTGTACCAAATCTGCAGATATTGAACAAATGCTATGCACAACATGTTTACTTTAGGAGTACTGCAATGTATTGTACAACAGTTATTAAATTATTTGAGAGACTACACCTCAAATCATTCGGGAAATGTTTCGCAGTAGTTGTACCTGTGCTGTATTTCCAACTGAAGCATGAAAGAAGCCGTGATGTACAGAAGGTGATATTGACCATTGTTGACCATTGTTGGATTACATGGCGCTGGTTCTCCGAGTTTATGGCGCATGTTCTCCGAGTTTATGATATAATCAAGGTATTCTAAGGATCGTCTGTGTTAAAGTATTGAACTTGGTTAGATAAGTACTTTCAAAACCCTTCCAGTTTAGTCGAATGACCATGGGCCCTAACTCTAGAGGATCTTATTGACAACTATCATCACTGGAACACCAATGCACATTGTTATTATAAAAGTATCTCCTGGTGTACATAATTTCGTGTTTTCTAGAGAGAGAATATTACCATAATTGTATCTTTGATCTAAACTTCTTGATTAACATCCCGTCTTAATATATTTCTGACGTGCAACATTACTGATTGCGTCATTTTAGGACTTAGTAATGAATACAATTTATCATACAAAAAAGCAGAGGAATACATTTAAATCGAGAAATAGTTTTGCGTTGTGGTTGTTTTATATTCGTTGAGGGCGGTCGGTGAGCCTAGTGGTTAAAGCATTCGCTCGTCACGTCGAAGACCCGGGTTCGATTCCCGACATGGGTACAATGCGTGATATTGCTGGAATATTGCTTAAAGCGGCGTAAAACAATACTCACTCACTCGCTGTATTCGTTGAAAGCACATCACCAAATGAATTAGTTATTGCGTTTTTGATACATGTTTATACGTTTCCACGTTTAGTTTGCAAATACATTGCTGCATATATGCTGTATGTATGCTCATAACGAACTACGGATATAACGAACTAAAATTAGTGGTCCTTTTGAGATCGTTATAACCGTAGTTTACTTTATATGATTGATTACTGTGGGAACGCCGTCACGCCGAAGACCCGGGTTCGATTCCCGACACGGGTACAATGTGTGAAGCCCATTTCGGGTGTCCCCCGCCGTGATATTGCTGGAATATTGCTAAAAGCGGCTTAAAACCATGTCCACTCACTCACTCCCTGTACCATCCACCGAAATCACCGTAATGTTATAAATCGCCAGCGTCGGCATGTTTCCACACCTGGTGTTCTGCAACGCCAGTAACCTGCAGCCCCGGTGTGTCTTTCTCTTGTACCGAGGTTTCCAGATGAAGTGACAATAGCACCCCATGGTACACTGAAATAGAGTGAGTGAGAGAGTTGGGTTCAACAAGGTTTGGAACAGTTAAATCACAGCTTGACAACCACTGACGAAAAGGAACGTGATGGAACTCAATGAATGTCACGTCACAATGAGCTGGATAACAAGACGTTGTCGTCACCCCTTCTCAAGTCCTGGAAACCCAGATATAGTTTGAGTTCCATACCGTGCGTTATAAGCGTGTGCATATCTTCATGTTCGTGTGTTTCTCCAGTTTACTGGCAAGAGAACAACACAACCAATGAAAATAACAGAATCTGTCACTCCATTTTTGCATATTCGACAAACATTAAACGTCATGGCCAGAGAATAACCAGTCTCGATTATCCGCCTAAACAAATTATTTTGGACGTAAAAGACAAGGTAGCGATGACACCAGGCGTTCCCGAAAAAAGCATGTCCTTCCTAACCGACAGCTCTCGGCGTTAAAACCCTGCTGTAAAACATGATTGGTTTCATTTCGATATATTCTCGCTTACACAAAACGATATAATATAATTCAAACTTGGACGGGATTTGTTACAGATAACAGACAAACATTGCTGTGACAGAGAATATACAATCTAGAAATTCAGACAGTGACGTTAGATGTGACGTAAATGTTTGTTGATTTGTTTTGTTTGTTGCTCAACGCCGCACTCAGCAATATTACAGCTATATGATGGCGGTCTGTAAATAATGGAGTCTGGACCAGACAATCCAGTGATTGACATCATGAGCATCGATCCACGCAATTGGGATACGATGACATGCATCAACCAAGTCAGCGAGCCTGACCACCAGATCCCATTAGTTGCCTCTTTTGACAAACATAGTCGCCTTTTACGGCTAGCATGGGTTGCTGAAGACCTATTCTACCCCCGATCTTCACGGTTCTGACGTCTATGTAAATGTATGCACTTAAATCAAAGGGTTAGGGGATACAGTTCCCTCCGCAGCAATAGGCAACAATGGGGACAATCAAACAGACAGAAAGACAACTTACTCAGTGTAAGTCCACTGGACCAAAATACAATCAAACTATAAGCAATATCACAATTCCTAATTTTTGTAACTTTGTAACTTACATGGTCAATAATATTTAAATGTTTTGACTTCTTACGTTTGTATATGTGATGTGTGCAGAAGGGGGCCTCATGTAGCGTCTCAAGTATTTCTTACACACAACATAAACACGTAAATCATGTAAGTTTTTGCTTTGCTGGCCGCCGTGTTGACGTTGTAGGCAGATTGAGATGTAGGCAGACTGAGAAGTTACCGACTATTTATGGGCCCGTGTGATATACAAGTAACAGTATTGAAAGCGATCAAAATAAACATCCACGTACTCAAGATAACACTTCTTACCTCAATACCAAACATGCCATTCTGGCAGACACGTGCGCATTGGTGAAAGGGGATGTCGCCCTTGTCTATCTTATATACGTCAGGAGTAAGGGTGTGTTTTTTGTCAACTTCGACACAGTCAATATATGTAGCTGGAGCTGTAATGACAAGAAAACTAATCAGATATATCCTGCCGACACATCAATCCGTGGTACTCACCAATCCGTGGTATTTTTTTATGACGTCATTTCTCGCGCACCTCGCACGGATTTGCGCCCCCTAGCGATTGTTTACATTGACAACTCGATCGTGACAGCTCCGAGCGAAAAATGTTCAGAATTGCATCTATTTGCGTAAGTACAGCTTTATATTACGATAAACTAAATAAAACTAACCTTCTGCACATAATGCACTTTTTGTTCCATTATAAAAAATGAGATCGTAAAAGATATTCAACTCGTAAGTTCAGCAAGAGAAGTTCGTCTGCTAGCTGATGTAAACAGAAATGTGTATCACGTGAATACTAAGGGGAATACCCGCTCAATTTTTATTACTATGGAAGCTGAGTAGGGCCATATCTTATATCGTTTATCGTGGTTTGTAGGATAATCCTGCGAGACGCAAACGACAGTACCGGCCTTATAGTCCAACACAACTGAAAGAAGCCTATCTGGAAGTAGTTGAACGAGGTTCTTCTGTTAACAAAGCAGCCAGGAAGTACTCTGTGCCTGACCAGACTCTGAGGACAGAACTAAAGGCATTACTTCCCCAGAATGTTTGTCCTCTTGACCAGGCCCATTATTTTCCCAAGAAGAAGAAGCACGCCTTGCCGACCACATAAAGCTTATGGCCTCAGTAGGATATGGATATACCAGGGCGCAGGTTATCTGTCTTGGCACTGACTATGCCATAAATCTCAAGAAACGTAGTAATGATTCCAAATCACTATTACTGCAGTGGTTTTATGGGTTGATGGGAAGATGGCCTGAACTGAAGTTGCGACGACCAAGGGGATTGTCTCAATTACGAGCCACTGCCACATCTGAGGAGAGCATTAACAAGTATTTTTCTCAACTTGAAGCAGTTCTTGACAAGTATGACCTAAAGTCAAGCCCAGAGCTGATCTACAACGTCGATGAGAAGGGAATTAATCTCACGCATTCTTCACCGCAAATTGTTGGATCTGCAGACGAAGTTCCAATTGAAATCTGCCCAGAGAAATCCTCTACAGTTACTGTTTTGGGATGCGGCAATGCATTGGGTCAGAAGATTCCACCTTTTTTCATTTTTCCTGGTTCACGCATGCGCGATGACCTCTTAGATGGTTCGACAGTTGGAACTTTTGGAACTGTTAGCGAGACGGGATGGTCCAGTACAGACATATTTCAGCGATGGTTGACAGGCCATTTTATGAAATATGCCAAAGTCGGAGGTAACAAGAAAACTCTGCTGCTATATGACGGCCACAGGTCTCACATCACCCCTCATCTGATAGATTACGCTGTTGACCAGGGGATAATCCTGTTTGTTCTACCACCTCACACAAGCCATGTTCTCCAGCCGATGGATGTTGGGTGCTTTGGGCCTTTCACCAAGATTTTCAGTTCAGAATGTAGGAAATGGCAGCGGTCAAATTCTGGAACAGTTAACCGATATAGCGTCTGTTCTTTGGCCTGTAAGGCATACGGGATTTCTCTGTCTGCCAGTAACTTGCACAGTGCTTTCAGGAAATGTGGTATTTATCCATTTGACCCAACGGCAATTGACAAGTAATTCCTGAAGCCATCTACGTTTGCCAATCAACAGTTGGCAAAAGCATCAGAAATTTCAGTTACATGTCCTGACATCGTTCAACAGCCCTCAGATTCAAGATTTTTTAGAGATCATCTTCCTGTTATTACCATTAAGAAATCGAAGCCCAGACGTTCTATCCAAAAGATCGTTGGTGGACAAGCAATTACGGAACCAGATATATCATGTCAAGTCACGGCTTACATCAACCGACCGCCTCCGTGGTCTAGTGGTAGAGCGTACGCCTGGAGAGCGGAAGGTCCGGGGTTCGATCCCCAGCCGTGTCATACCAAAAGACGTTAAAAGATGGTACTTGTTGTTACCATGTCTGGCGCTCGGCATTAAGGGGCTAAAACAAGGACTGGTCGGCTCGGAGTCAGTATACTGTGTCTGAGTGGGGTATTCATGTTAAACTGCGGCATGGTATCTCAGTGTGCTAGCACTATAAATCGGCATCAGTCCGGACTAGTACAAGCAGCCACACAAACACACACACACACATGCACGTCGCTATATAAGTGCAATAATCTTGGACGCGACGTTAAACCCCATTTCACCTCACCACCTCACCTTACATCAACCAGTCCAAACAGTCAACAAACGGAAGAAGCAAGGCATCAAAATCAACTGCGAAGCCAAAGACAACTAAACCAACTACCAAGTCTACTAGCAAGGATAAGCAGGACAGTATGTCATCCCAACAACCTGGACCATCTGGGATTGATAAGCTCCTTATCTCAAGCGACGATCAATCAGATTCTGAATCTAACAACGATGATGACGAAAAGTGTTGTGTATGCGGAAAGTTTCAGCCAGTTGAACTGAGGCGATGTCAACATGTTGAATTCACTAAGTGGGGACAGTGCATGCATGGAAATTGTGAACACTTGGTGCATTTAAAATACTGTTGTGACATCTCCTTTCTTCGACGACATGATGTGTTCTTCTGTCCGTGTCACGGTCTACCTTGCAGACACCAAGAAGAATAACGAAATTTGTGATGATCATGATCATAAACTGTAAAGAATCTGACAATTTGTGTTCAAGTGACAGTTATTTCATATTTTATAATTCAGTACAGTGTTATCTGTATTTTGTTACGTTTGGAAGTGCCTTGGGAACATTACTTTTGATTCCAAAGAACTTTGACATTGTGGCGTGTGCTAACCACCGTAGCTTGACCCGATGAACTTTACCACGGAAACATATGACGTCACTACAAGTTGTGTAAAAATGGCCGCTATTGTACAGCAGCCGATACGGAGGCATTTGTGGACAAAATGATGTTTCTTTGTAATTAAATGGTGTAAAGGTGAGTGTTCTAACGATTTATTTAACATTTATTGCTTGTCGAAGTCAGCGGGTTGGTTTATCGTAATGCTATTCTTAATACCACGGAAACACGTGTCGCGAGGGTACTACTCAAAAGAAGTAAAATCACATCAAATTGTTTCATATTAATATAATAAATCTTCTATGGCATGACAGATTAACTATAGAAATATGATATTATCGAGTGTTCTTGTGAGCAGTATAGATAGATAGATATGCTAGATAGCGTTTGATATGATGACATTGCGGAATCAAAAGTTATTAAATACTTAAGTATGAAAGACTGAGTTTTCCGAAGTTGAGAAAAGTGATATTTATTGCAGTGAACATAACAATTGATATTTCACTGCAATGAACATAACACTTTCACTGTTGTAATTGTCATGCAAGAGTGACCTCCTCTCAAATTGATTCCCTTTTTCGTAAGTGTCTGGCCCATTCACACACTGTTGACTTCCTTTTCATGTTAGTTCCACATTGGCAAGGCAAACTAATGACAAATGGCCATTTATGGAATTAATATTGCTTCATGGCGTTTGTCATTCTCTTGAAATTGTTCTGTTATAAACCGTAAATTTCTCACTGAACTATCAATCGAGACCGTTCGTTTCGCAAAGCGCCATTTTTGTTACTTGACCATCGTGCATTCTGTAGCCTCCGACAGCGTTCTCAAAGCTTTCAAGAATGTTTTTCTTAAAGTTGATTTTATTTAGAATCATATCTATATGTATGCTACAGAAAATGTTCTTTGTTACTATTTTCTTTGCATATTTTTTATGATTTTGTAAACCCGAAACTACGTTTTAAGTCGCAAATACATGGGATGGTGAACCGTCCCTATGTGTAAGGTAGGGAGAATTTACGTTTCACCGTGGCTTGTGAAGGTTTGTCATTGTTAGCCTTGGCTTAAGGATTGTCATTGTTAGCCTTGGCTTGTTAAGGCTTGTCATTGTTAACCGTTGCTTAAGGCTTGTCATTGTTCGCCGTGGCTTGTTAAGGCCTGCCATTGTTCGCCGTGGCTTGTTATGGCTTGTCATTGTTCGCCATGGCTTAAGGCTTGTCATTGTTCGCCATGGCTTAAGGCTTGTCATTGTTCGCCGTGGCTTAAGGCTTGTCATTGTTCGCCATGGCTTAAGGTTTGTCATTGTTCGCCGTGGCTTAAGGCTTGTCATTGTTAGCCGTGGCTTACGGCTTGTCATTGTTCGCCATGGCTTAAGGCTTGTCATTGTTCGCCATGGCTTAAGGCTTGTCATTGTTCGCCGTGGCTTAAGGCTTGTCATTGTTCGCCGTTGCCTTTTAAGGCTTGTCATTGTTTGCCGTTGCTTGTTAAGGCTTGTCATTGTTTGCCGTTGCTTGTTAAGCCTTGCCATTGTAAGCAGTGGCTTAAGGCTTGTCATTGTTCGCCATAAATACGTGCGAAAACATCAACATATATTTACAACGAGGAAAGGAGTTTTCCAATTAAATGGCCTGGCCGGGCTCGTGTGCGAAATACGCATCAGTCGGAAAGCGCACGTTAAAGCTCCAAAGTAAGTAAGTAAGAGTTTTCCAAAGGTTGTAATGGAACAACACAAGAGAAAGGATTATAGGAGGATATGGTTCGTCTGTGGAGGTTTTGCCAAGACGTTTTGTGAGGATACCTTTGTAAACACATAATGCATAGTTATGGATGTAAACTTTGTTAATAACTGTATGAGATTTTTTCACATCTATATTTTTTTTATGAAACCGTACACAATTTAATAACGGCATAAATCTGCACTTACGATGCTTGTTTTTGTCGTTCACATCCTTCTTTGAATGTTGCTTTTGAGAGTCTCTAACACCATTCTTTGTATGGTGCTTGTGACTGTCTTTATCTTCGTGTTGTATTTCCTTACACAGTGTGGCGTGGGTAACTGTCTTCAGAGAACAAACGCCAGAAGCAGATTCCTACGATTCAAATATCGTTAATTATCAAACTTTTCTTCGTCCCTCACCCATCGCTTATTTAGACAATTACTAAAAATACATGAATTGTTTGAGAGGCATTAGTTAGAAGATGACGTATGACAAGGTAGACACAATTTTATGGATAACAACATCCTTAATACTGTAAAAAGCGACGTTGCTTGACAACGGTATGAGGATCTATACCGAAACGTCGCTTTTTACAGTATTAAAGAAGTTGTTATCCATAAAATTGTGTCTACCTTGTAAAGACACATGCCTTGAAATAAATCTAATGTAACTGCATGTTTATGTTCTAGCAACTGAGTGAGACACTGTTGTGCTTACATAGTGAACATTCATATGAATTTCCATTCACAGAATACCCGTGAAGATTCCGGGGTAGAATAGGTCTTCAGCAACCCATGCTTGCCGTAAAAGGTGACTATGCTTGTCGTAAAAGTCGACAGATGGCATCGGGTGGTCAGGCTCGCTGACTTGGTTGATGCATGTCATCGATCACAATTGCGTGGATCGATGCTCATGATATCAGTCACTGAATTGTCTGGTCCAGACTCGATTATGTACAGACCGCCGTCATATAGCTTGAATATTGCTGAGTGCGGCGTTAAACAACAAACCAACCAACCAATCCAATCACAGAATACGATAATCAAGGTTAAACACAAATTGTCTCCGATGGACAAAATATCTACGTGTTTAAAGACTGATGGGGCCTTGGTCATTAAATGCATGAATATTTGTTTGATGTCAAGGTGCAGCTATTCTCGCGATATGTTGCGATGTTGATGGAATATTGTTGGGTGCGGCGTGCAAACACAAACAAGCATACGGATCTCTCTCACCTTTGACTTGTCTTGACCGAGAACAAAGGACTCTCCCTGTAACTGCCCACCTTCCTCGGTGTTTGACAGGCGACACGTCAGGATGCCATGATTAAATTCAAAACCCACACAGAAAGCACTGTGAATGCATAATCTGTTGCACCGACGAATGTCAATCCATGAAAGGCTCTTGATTGTGCTTCCACGTGACGTGTCACAGAAGCAAAGTGTAACAGATTGTAAAACCACACAAAGCCAGAATAGCCAGGACGCAGGTCGCCAGGCATCTTCCATCTTGGCCTCCTCCGCTCGAAATCTTCTGAAGCTACATCTCATTACCTGAAGATGGTCCTTCCTGATCTGTGCCCTTACGTCATCTGCAACGCAAAGAAGTTAATTTACAGTTAATTGATGTCTTCCCAGTTTGGCTGCAGTTTTATTTCGTGACTTATCATATTTCCCAGTTTGGCTGCAGAAAATGTTGAGAGCACTTAGAGATAATTACATCAATTTTAAAGTGTTTCAAAACCAGAATTTATTGTGGTTGAAATCGATATGGGTACTTGTTCCTGGTTTGTTTGGTTACAGCTCACACTCCATAACTATCACAGCATAACCCCACTGCCATAGGCTTATTTGCATATCACTTGACCGGACTTTTCTCTTGTTTGTAAACAAACGCGCTTTTTCAGAAATCAGTTTCGAACCGACTAATGCAAGTATTTGGAGGCGCTTTACATATTGGTTTGCATAATTATATAGATATGCTACTACAACTGCGACAGTGAGTTGCATGACAATATATATTTATACATCAAAGTGACCGTATCGCCAGCTCGCCGTTGGGCTTCGATGACAGCTCGTGGAGCCGTATAA